GCCTAACCCAAAGGCACAGAAGATAAAATGTGTTCTTCTAGCAGTTCTGTGGTTTAGTATTAGCCCTTTTAGGCAGCGCTAGGATCCGTGTTGAGTTAATTTCTGCTTACGGTGTGAGATAGGGGTTAGATTTCATTCTTTTGCTTATGGACATTTGATTGCCTTGGCAGCATTAGTTTAAAAGTCTTTTCTTTCCCTAATTAGATTGCTTTGGCACCCTTGTTGAAAATCAATTGGTCACAAATGTAAGGCTTTATTTCTGGACTCTTCTATTCCAAAGGGGCCTGATGATACTCTTGGGTGTTAGACTGCGAACAGCAGGCTGGTGATTCAAACCGACCAGCCGCTCTGTGGGTGAAGATGAAGCTGTCTGCTCCCGTAAAGATTTACAAAGACTTGAAAACCCTACATAAGCTCACTATGAGTCAGAAATGACTTGTTGGCAGTGATTTGAGTTGTCATTTTGTTTTTTAATTCTATTCCATTAGTCTATGCATTCAGACTTCTTAGAGTACCATACTGACCTGATTATTGTAGCTTTGTGGTAACATAAGAAATTTTGAAATGTCAGTACTCCGGCTTTTTTCTTCTTTTCCACAATTGTTTTGACTATTTTGGATCCCTGGCAAGTAAAATTTAGGGCCAGCTTGTCAATTTCTGCAAAGATGCCAGCTGGGATTGTGACAGAGTTAAATCTTGAGATCAGAGTAAGGGATAAGTGTTGAGCTGCTAACCGCAAGGTCAGTGATTTCAAACCCATCAGCGCATTCTCAGGACAGAAATGAGGCTGTCTGCTGCCATAAAGATTTATAGCCTTGGAAAACCTACATACGGTCACTGAGTCAGGAGTGACTTGCTGGCAGTGGACTTGGGCAGTGGACATACCTTGTTCACGTCTTTCCATTTATTTCAAATGTTCTTTGGTGATGTTTTGTAGTTTCTCATGTTCACTTATTTTGTTAGATTTATTACTAGGGGTTTTTCCCATGTGATTATCAATTGAATGGCTCAGCACAGTGGATGCAACAGTGGGCTCAAGCAACGATTGTGAGGCTGGCATGGAACGGGCAGTGTTTCACTCTGTTGTACATAGGGTCGTATCACTCAACAGCACCTAGCAGCAACGTAACATAACATAATATAACATGTGCTTAACTCCATTATGGGATTGTTCATTGCTAGTTTATAGAACTAGCATTTAGTTTTATGTATCAGTCTTGTGTCCTATAAACTTGTTTATCAGTTTTAATTCATTTGGGGGAATTGTTTTGAATTCAAGAGTATATCATCTGCAAATAGAGATAGCCTTACTTCCTTCTTTCCAATCTGAAGGCCTTTCCTTGCCTAATTACTCTGGCTACGAGCCCTGCTGGCATAGAGGTTAGGCCTTCGGCTGCTATCCACAATGTCAGCAGTTCAAAACCACCAGCCTCCATGGGAGAAAGACAGGCCTTTTACTCCTGTAAAGAGTCACCGTCTCGGACGCCCACCAGGGCAGTTCTACCCTGTCCTATAAAGTTGCTAGGAGTCCAGATAGACTCAATGGCAGAAATTTGAGGGTTTATTATTTTTTTCAAATAAAAAATACAGGCTACAACCTCCAGTACAGTACAGAATTAGAAATGGCAAGAGGCGACCTGGAAACCATTCAGTCTTTCTTCATTAACTGTGCTATTCATTGTCAGCTTCTCAAAGGTGCCCGTTGTCAGGTTGAAGAAATTTCCCATCTATTTCCTGCATACTTGTTGTTGTTTTTTATTATAAAAGGGCATTGGATTTTGTCGACTGCATTTCCTGTCTATTAAATGATACTGAGGATATGAGTCTTCATTCTATGCAAATGGGTTAT